GACAGTTTGTGGAAAATGAGAGCTCCGGAAAGGGATGGCTTGTGTATGGCTGCCTGCACAGTAGGCCCAGTACTGGTATCCAGGCTGGTCACCATGGTAACGCAGGCCTGTGCTCATTGACAGGAAACGTCCCCTCACACCCTCCACAGACATGGCTGTGCACGTACATCTACGTCATCATATCACTCACATCCTTCTTGGTCTGTGTCCTCTGTTCACCACACATAGAGCCCTCACCTTCCCCTCCACCACCTCCTTCCCGCCACTATGCCGTCACATGACCGCAGTCACTGCGCGCGCACTTCTCTCCCCACGGACTGAGGAGAAAGTGGGTGTGTCCACCCGACAAATTAGAGAGAGTGGGTGTGTCCTCCCCGACAAATTACAGGAGAGAGTGGGTGTGTCCTCCCCCGACAAATTAGAGGAAGAGGGCGTGCCTCAGCGGCCGCGCTCCTATTAAAGAAGGAGGGAGGCGGTAGCCCGGAGCCCAGCTCTTTCAAGAGAAGAAGGCGTGTCCTTGCGGCTGAGCACCAATTAGAGGAGAGGGGTGTGTCCCATGTCTCAAGTTTCTATTAGCTGGCTGGGGGGGTGTCCCGTCCCGAGCTCCCAAGAGAGGAGGGGGGTGTCTTTGCTGTCTGTCTCCAATTAGAGGAAGGTGGGTGTGTCCCGGCGGGCCAACTTTTTTTTAAAAAAAAAGGGTCGTGTCCCCGCGGTCATCCTCCTATTATGGAATGGGGGTGTGTCCCCGCGGTCATACTCCTATTATGGAATGGGGGTGTGTCCCCGCGGTCATACTCCTATTATGGAATGGGGGTGTGTCCCCGCGGTCATACTCCTATTATGGAATGGGGGTGTGTCCCCGCGGCCGTGGTACTAGTTACAGGAGAGGTGGGTGAGTCTGCGGTCCAGCTGTTTGTAAAATAGGGGGTGTGGCCCAGCTGCCGAGCTCCTATTAGAGGAAAGGGGTGTGTCCGAGCTACCGATATCCTCTATTAGAGGAGAGGGGAGTGTCCCTGCTGCGAGCTCCTATTAGGAGAGGGGCGTGTCCCTGCTGCGAGCTGTTGTTAAAAGAAGGGGTGTCCCTATTGCCGAGCTCCTATTAGGAGAGGGGCGTGTCCCTGCTGCCGACCTCCCATCAGAGTGAGAGGGACGGTGTCCCCTACGATCTAGCGCCAATTAGAGAAGGAGGGGGTTTCCCTGTAGCCGAGCTCCCGTTGGCCAGCGCGGCGACCAAAGGCGCCTGCGTTGTGGATCACGTGGCTGAAGACGGTGGCGTGGACGGGTGAGAGACAGTGCTCCGTGCGTACACCTGATCGGTGTAGCGGCAAGATGAGTTCCCCCATGAAAATGTGTGTCCCTGACGCATCTGCGCATGTCACAGCTTCAGTCACGATCAATCGATTACTAAACTGCCGCATCCGACCTTCTTGAATTAACCCCTTCGTGGCCATTTCTTACTTTTCTTAACTAATTCATAATTCTAATAATGAATAATAATAATTTCTTAACTGTGACAGTTCTGTGCTATGGATGGTGATCGGTGATCATATACTGCTGCCGAACAGTGTGACATGTGCAGATGCGTCAGGGATACACATCTTCATGGGGGAACTTGTCTTGCCTCTACAATATAGGGACCCTGTACACAGGGCTGACGTTTTGGGGCCCCTTGCACAGCTATAGGCCTGCCTCCCTCCCTACCCCTGACCGCCAACATTCCACAGGGCCCGCCCACTGGCTTCAATGCATCCATCTCAGTATATGACGTGTATTCCAAGTCTACAGTGCTTGCATCCCCAGTAAGGAGATGGTCCAATCTGGCAAAGAGCCATCCCCATATATCTGGCAAAGAGCCATCCCCATATATCTGGCAAAGAGCCATCCCCATATATCTGGCAAAGAGCCATCCCCCATATAGTTGGCGAAGAGCCAGCCCCATGTAATCGGCAAATAGATGGCCCAGTAGAGCCAAGAGACACCCCAATCCAGAAAAGAGTATTTGGCAAAGAGATGACCCAATCCAGCAAAGAGACATCCCAATATATTCAGCAAAGTGACAACCCCAATCCAGATAAGACACCCCCCTATATGTTCAGCAAAGACACCCCCCCATATATTCAGCAAAGGCACCCCAATCCAGATAAGGGACACCCCACATATGTTCAAAGGCACCCCAATCCAGATATGGGACACCCCCCATATGTTCAGCAAAGGCACCCCAATCCAGATAAGACCCCCCAGTCCAGATAAGAGCCACCCCATATGTTCAGCAGAGATGCCCCAATCCAGATAAACTCCCCATATGTTCAAAGAGACACCCCTTATCCAGATAAGAGACAGCCTCATACATTCAGAAAAGAGACAGCCTAATCCAGCAATGAGACATCCCCATATAGCAATTGTGAATAAAAGATGGCATATTCAATACACACAGCTAGGTCCTTCTAGTGGGCACCTCCACACCTTTCAGATGGAAGACCCCCCCACACACACAGACGCACGCACACATAGCCATCCCAGTCAGAAGAATCCCCCAGAAGGAACCTGGACTTGAACCTGGGACAATTATAACATGGACATCCTAGGTGGCAGAGAGGAGACCACGATCTGTAGCAACTAAATAGAAGAAAGAATCTTTCCCCGGCCAAGCAGACTTTTTTCACTTTCGGGTGAAGGTGTAGTAATCTCCTGTGCAAGACAAGTACACTGCAGTCCCATCCGGCCCAGTGGATTGATACAGAAGAGGTCATGACTGTAATGTACTTGCCTGGCACAGGAGATTACTACACCTTCATCCGAAAGTGAAGAAATAGTCCACTTGGCCGGGAAAAGATTCTTTGTAATTGTTGCAGATCGCGGTCTCCTCTCTGCCTTTGCCCAACACACACCCCAACCCACACACAACCCCAACCCACACACACCCCAACCCACCCCACACCCCTCCTCCCAGCCAGTACAGGAGGACTGAGAAAGTAGTAGGAGCACTTTGCAAAGCAGCCTGGGGGGGCTCTGGCCATAGTTGGGACACCCAGTCCTTCTATATGTATGGGCTGTCCCCCCTTTGATGGTGACCCTGTCTGTACATTGGAGGAGGGCCTAGGCGCGGGGAGCGTGCTGGGGCCAGGAGGGCCTAGGCGTGGGGAGCGTCCCGGGGCCGGGAGGGCCTAGGTGCAGGGAGTGTCCTATGGAGGGTCTAGGCGCGGGGAGCATCCTGGGGAGGGCCTGGGCGCAGGGAGTTGTCACTCTCAGTTCAGGTGCACTTTAATCTCACAGTAATATATTACACAGATTTGGGTTCCCAGCCTCGGGGGGTCGTAGATCTGGTAAATTACAAAAAAAAAAAAACCCACAAACTACGGGTGCCAGCCCCTGCTCTGCACATTCCCTCCTCTGTCCACTTATACCCCCCACAACTCTTGCTTAATGTATTCCCAAACCCACGAACTACGGGTGCGTCCTGGTGGAAGGCCTGGGCACGGATCGCCTCCTGGTGCGGGGAGGGCCTATGTGCAAGGAATTTGCTGGCACAGGGAGGGCCTAGGCACGGGGAGGGTCTAGGGGCGAGTAACGTCCTGATGCGGAGAGGGCCTAGGTGCCAGGAATGTGCTAGCAGGTCACCTCCTGGCACGGGGAGGGCCTAGGTGCAAGGAATGAGCTGGCACAGGGAGGGCCTAGGCGTGGGGCAGCGTCCCGGCGCGGGGAGGGTCTAGGTGCGAGTAGCGTCCTGCAGTGGAGAGGGCCTAGGTGCCAAGAATGTGCTAGTGGGTCGCCTCCTGGTGTGGGGAGGGCCTAGGCGCGTGTCACCTCCTGGCGCGGGGAGGGCCTGGGCGCAGGGAGTTGTCACTTTCTCAGTTCAGGTGCACTTTAGTCTCATAGAAGTATTATACAGATTGGGCTTCTCAACCTCGGGGGGTCGTAGATCTGGTAAATCGTTCCAAAAAAACTACAGGAACTACAGGTGCCAGCCCCTGCTCTGCACCTTCCCTCCTCTGTCCAGTTATACCTACCACAATTCTTGCTTAATATATTCCCAAACCCACGAACTACGGGTGCGTCCTGGTGGAAGACCTAGGCGCGGGTCGCCTACTGTCGCGGGGAGCATTCTGATGTGGGAAGGGCCTAGGCGCAAGGAAGGTGCTGGCACGGGGAGGGCCTAGGCGTGGGCAGCGTCCTGGAGAGGGCCTAGGCGTGGGGAGGGTCTAGGTGCGAGTAATGTCCTGACGTGGAGAGGGCCTAGGTGCCAGGAATGTGCTAGCAGGTCGCCTCCTGGCGTGGGGAGGCCCTAGGACCGGTCGCCTCCTGATGCGGGTCTCCTCCTGGCGTGGGGAGGGCCTAGGACCGGTCGCCTCCTGATGCGGGTCTCCTCCTGACGTGGGGAGGGCCTAGGCGCAGGTTGCCTCCTGATGCGGTTCGCCTCCTGGTGCGGGGAGGGCCTAAGCGCGGGGAGCGTCCTGGGGTGGGGAGCGTCCTGGGGTGGGGAGGGCCTGGGCTCAGGGAGTTGTCACTTTCTCAGTTCAGGTGCTTTAGTCTCTCAGTAATATATTATATACAGATTGGGGTTCCCAACCTCGGGGGGTCGTAGATCTGGTAAATGTTTCCAAAAAACCCCATGAACTACGTGTGCCAGCCCCTGCTCTGCACCTTCCCCCCTCTGTCCAGTTGTACCCCACAGCAACCAATCATATTCTTGCTTAAGGTATTCCCAAAAATAAAACACATCTGATTGGTTACACCTCCAGTTTCAGTTCTAGTTTTTCACGTTTGGTCCCTGGCACAGACATTGCACAGTGACAGGTCAGATGACGGTGAACACCAATCAGAATGGGTACAAACTTGCAACAAGCCCCTCCCCATCCTGTTCCAGAAGGGCCCCCTGCCTGTAACCGGGGCTCCGCTGGAGAGTCGCAGGCTCAGGTTTGCACAGACGGGTGTCGGCAGCATCTACACCGAGATCTTCTTCGATGACATTTATTTTTTTTTTTCCTTCTTCCTCTCAGGAAATGGCGGAGCAGACTTCTCGTCCCGAACGCGTCCCTCACCGACGCCGGCCAGCCGCCAGGCCACCTCGCAGTGCCAACGACATCTACGTGAACACAAAGACCGACTTCCGTGCCCAGCTGGCTCGATGCCGCCGTCTGCTGGGCGCCGGGGGACAGAAGGAGGTGAGGGTTCACGGACTGGGCCTCGCCATCGGCCGGGCCATTAACCTAGCGCTCCAACTTCAGCTGTCAGCCCCTGAGGCCCTCCTGATCTCCACCAGTACATCCACAGTGGAGCTCACCGATGACTTGGAGCCTGAGGGAGGAGAAGATGCAGAGCCGGGAACCCGGAGCAGGAACAACTCCGCCATCCACATCCGTGTGTACAGAGCAGAGGAGGAGTGAGAGGAGCTCTGTGTACACACTGATGGCATGCTGTACCGGCCCTGGCAATGGAGGCTGCTGGACCTTCATCGTGGTGGACCTTCATCATGGTGGAACTTGGCTCCGGCCTGTCATACAAGGGAGGATAGTCAACCGGAAGGATTGTGTGCAGTGACCCACCTTTAGATGGCGCCCTCTTCCAGGTGCTACAGGATGGATCCAAAGTTTGCACATTTTTTTTTTTTTTTTTGGTGGCAGTGACTGGGAATCTCCTCGCTCAGGATACAAGAGATTCTGCCATTAAGTGTCATCATTGTATCACTCTGAATAATTTATAATAAAATTACATCTAAAAAAAAAAAAAATACATGATTTATGTCTTTACTGAAAACTTGGGAAACCTTCAGATATCCCATAAAATACCTTCCGTCCTGAAAATATGTACAGCACCTTGAAAAAGTCTTCCTCCCCCTTAAAATGTTCCCCATGTTGTCATGTGACAGCCAAAAATGTCAATGTATTTATTGGGATTGGATGTGATGGACCGACACAAAGCAGCACATCATTGTGAAGTGGAAGGAAAATGAGAAATGGTTTTTAACAGTTGTGACCAATAAATCTGTGAAAATTGTGGTGGCATTTGTATTCATCCCCCTTTACTCTGATAACTCTGACTAATATCTAGTGGAACCAATTGCCTTCAGAAGTCACCTAATTAGTAAATAGAGTCCCCCTGTGTGTCATGTGATCTCAGTATAAATCCAGCTGTTCTGTGAAGCCCTCAGAGGTTTGTTAGAGAACATTAGGTGAACAAACCGCATCATGAAGGCCAAGGAACACAACAGACAGGTCAGGGATAAAGTTGTGGAGAAGTTTAAAGCAGGGTTAGGTTATAAAAAAGAAAAAAATCCCAAGTTTTCAAAATCTCACAGAGCACTGTTCAATCCATCATCCGAAAATGGAAAGAGTATGGCAGAACTGTCCCTGTCTCGATGTGCAAAGCTGGGAGAGACATTCCCAAAAAGACTTGCAGCTGGAATGGCAGCCAAAGGGGGTCCTACAAAGTATTGACTCCGGGGGGCCGAATACAAATGCCGCCACACTTTTCACAGATTTATTGGTCACAAATGTTGGAAACCATTTCTCATTTTCCTTCCACTTCACAATTATGTGCCACTTTGTGTCGGTCCGTCACATCCAATCCCAATAAATACATTGTAACATGACAGCGTGGGAGGGGGGGGAATACATTGTAACATGACATCATGGGGAACATTTTGGGGGGAGGGGGAGTACATTGTAACATGACAACATGGGGGACATTTCAGGGGGGAGGGGGGAATACATTGTAACATGACAACATGGGGGACATTTCAGGGGGGAGGGGGGAATACATTGTAACATGACAACATGGGGGACATTTCAGGGGGGAGGGGGGAATACATTGTAACATGGGGGACATTTCAGGGGGGAGGGGGGAATACATTGTAACATGACAACATGGGGGGCATTTCAGGGGGGAGGGGGGGAATACATTGTAACATGACAACATGAGGGACATTCACGGGGGAGGGGGAATACATTGTAACATGACAACATGGGGGACATTTCAGGGGGGAGGGGGAATACATTGTAACATGACAACATGGGGGACATTTCAGGGGGGAGGGATACATTGTAACATAACAACATGGGGGACATTTCAGGGGGGGAGGGGGAATACATTGTAACATGACAACATGGGGGACATTTCAGGGGGGGAGGGGAATACATTGTAACATGAAAACATGGGGGGGGAGGGGAAATACATTGTAACATGACAACATGAGGGACATTTCAGGGGGGGAGGGGAATACATTGTAACATGAAAACATGGGGGACCTTTCAGGGGGGAAATACATTGTAATATGACAACATGGGGGACATTTCAGGGGGGGAGGGGAATACATTGTAACATGGGGGACATTTCAGGGGGGGGGGGATACATTGTAACATGACAACATGAGGGACATTTCAGGGGGAGGGGAATACATTGTAACATGACAACATGAGGGACATTTCGGGGGGGGTATACATTGTAACATGACAACATGGGGGACATTTCAGGGGGGAGGGGGAATACATTGTAACATGACAACATGGGGGACATTTCAAGGGGGAGGGGGGGGAATATATTGTAACATGACAACATGGGGGACATTTCAGGGGGAGGGGGATACATTGTAACATGACAACATGGGGGACATTTCAGGGGGGAGGGGGGGAATACATTGTAACATAACAACATGGGGGACATTTCAAGGGGGAGGAGGTGAATACATTTAACATGACAACATGGGGAACATTTCAGGGGGAGGCGAATACATTGTAACATGACAACATGGGGGACATTTCAGGGGGGAGGGGGATACATTGTAACATGACAACATGGGGGACATTTCAGGGGGGAGGGGGATACATTGTAACATGACAACATGGGCATTTCAAGGGGGAGGAGGCGAATACATTGTAACATGACAACATGGGGAACATTTCAGGGGGGGGAATACATTGTAACATGACAACATGGGGGGACATTTCAGGGGGGAGGGGAATACATTGTAACATGACAACATGGGGGACATTTCAGGGGGGAGGGGGATACATTGTAACATGACAACATGGGGGACATTTCAAGGGGGAGAGGGGGATACATTGTAACATGACAACATGGGGGACATTTCAAGGGGGAGGATGACTTTATCTGCTGTATAAAGGAGAGTGGCTGCATAATCTTCATCTATTGTTTCCGGGGGGTGCAGTAGTAATGGTTTCAGCAAAAGTCCCCTATGTTCTATGCTTTGGCTATGATTTTTTATTCTCTTGCTAATAAAAATCAGGTTATTTTTTCCTATTCTCTCTCCTTCTCTTCTCCCGCTTCTCTTCTCTCTTCCTTCTCTTCTCCCGCTTCTCTTCTCCCCGCTTCTCTTCTCCCTCCTTCTCTTCTCCCGCTTCTCTTCTCCCGCTTCTCTTCTCCCGCTTCTCTTCTCCCTCCTTCTCTTCTCCCTCCTTCTCTTCTCCGCTTCTCTTCTCCCGCTTCTCTTCTCCCCACCTTCTCTTCTCCCCCGCTTCTCTTCTCCCACCTTCTCTTCTCCCTCCTTCTCTTCTCCCCCGCCTTCTCTTCTCCCTCCTTCTCTTCTCCCACCTTCTCTTCTCCCTCCTTCTCTTCTCCCTCCTTCTCTTCTCCCCACCTTCTCTTCTCCCTCCTTCTCTTCTTCTCTTCTCCCTCCTTCTCTTCTCCCTCCTTCTCCTTCTCTTCTCCTCCCGCCTTCTCTTCTCCCTCCTTCTCTTCTCCCTCCTTCTCTTCTCCCCGCCTTCTCTTCTCCCGCCTTCTCTTCTCCCTCATTCTCTTCTCACTCCTCTTCTCCCACCTTCTCTTCTCCACCTTCTCTTCTCCCTCCTTCTCTTCTCCCGCCTTCTCTTCTCCCACCTTCTCTTCTCCCTCCTTCTCTTCTCCCTCCTTCTCTTCTTCCGCCTTCTCTTCTCCCTCCTTCTCTTCTCCCTCCTTCTCTTCTCCCTCCTCTTCTCCCGCCTTCTCTTCTCCCTCCTTCTCTTCTCCCGCCTTCTCTTCTCCCGCCTTCTCTCTCCCTCCTTCTCTTCTCCCGCCTTCTCTTCTCCCTCTTTCTCTTCTCCCGCCTTCTCTTCTCCCTCCTTCTCTTCTCCCACATTCTCTTCTCCCACATTCTCTTCTCCCACATTCTCTTCTCCCTCCTTCTCTTCTCCCTCCTTCTCTTCTCCCACCTTCTCTTCTCCCACCTTCTCTTCTCCCTCCTTCTCTTCTCCCGCCTTCTCTTCTTCCTCCTTCTCTTCTCCCTCCTCTTCTCCCTCCTTCTCTTCTCCCGCTTTCTCTTCTCCCTCCTTCTCTTCTCCCGCTTTCTCTTCTCCCTCCTTCTCTTCTCCCTCCTTCTCTTCTCCCTCCTTCTCTTCTCCCTCCTTCTCTTCTCCCGCCTTCTCTTCTCCCGCCTTCTCTTCTCCCTCCTCCTCTTCTCCCGCCTCCTCTTCTCCCTCCTCCTCTTCTCCCACCTCCTCTTCTCCCTCCTTCTCTTCTCCCTCCTTCTCTTCTCCCTCCTTCTCTTCTCCCTCCTTTCTCTTCTCCCTCCTTCTCTTCTCCCTCCTTCTCTTCTCCCGCCTTCTCTTCTCCCGCCTTCTCTTCTCCCTCCTTCTCTTCTCCCTCCTTCTCTTCTCCCGCCTCCTCTTCTCCCTCCTCCTCTTCTCCCACCTCCTCTTCTCCCTCCTTCTCTTCTCCCTCCTTCTCTTCTCCCTCCTTCTCTTCTCCCTCCTTCTCTTCTCTCCCGCCTTCTCTTCTCCCGCCTTCTCTTCTCCCTCCTTCTCTTCTCCCTCCTTCTCTTCTCCCGCCTTCTCTTTCTCCCTCCTTCTCTCCTCCCTCCCACAGCTTACCTTTGGACCATTGCAAATCTACCTATTCCATAACTGAGGAATCACTGGGGCTCATTCCTGGAAATCTCTGTATTGGGCACCGCTTCTACAGTGATTTGCAGCTGCCCTGCTGCATAGTAAACATAGGGGATCGTCTGCTCGGTACATACAGTCAGGTCCATAAATATTGGGACATGGACACAATTCTAACATTTTTGGCTCCATACACCACCACAATGGATGTGAAATGAAAGGAACAAGATGTGCTTTACTGTATATCAGGCAGCCTGGCATTGAAGGCTTGGTGCACCTTGACCAAAAAAACTGCCTGCGCAGATAAGGGACATCTGTGGGTAAAAGCACCGATCAAAGCTGAATAATTCCCTTGCTATAGGTGGAGGCCATTTACGTACTTCATGAAGCCCGACTGAAAAACTCCCGAAGATGGCGTCATTCCATCCTGCCCTGTTGCTGGGATGTTGCTAAGACACCCCCAGCTGTTACTGCTCACCTCCACCATCACAAGAGCAATTTCTTTCTCTGATTCAAACCCCCTCACATGGAACTTTCTCTCCCCTGGTGCAGTAGCTCTGAGCTAAGAATTT